TGTACAAACAGTTCAACGCGGCCGTGCGCACGGCCGGGCGCACCCGCCAGGAATACCGGGACAACTTCCACTTCAAAACGCTGCATTTCCTGCTGACCCAGGCCCTCCAGAAGCTGAGACGCCCTAATGAGTGTCCAGATGTGTACCGGGGGGTGAGGGATGTCCAATTCGATGCAAAACTTGGCGATAAAGTCCGCTTCGGCCAATTCGCTTCATCGTCGCGGGACAAAAACGTGGCCCAGGGTTATGGGACAGACACAATGTTCGAGGTGCACACGTGCCATGGCGTGGACATCCAGGCTTTTTCCTACAATCCTAGCAACCATGAGGTGCTGATCCCACCCTTCGAGACCTTTGAGGTCACCAAAGTCACCGGGGAAGGGAAGAAGGTGATTGGGCTTCGCTCCACTGGGAACTCCAGCAACTACAACTGCGAGTGGCTGCGAGGTGACATCATGGGAACAGCCTGGGCGGATGGGGACACTCAGTGAGGGTTGGGGACGAGGACACATGTTGCTAGGGACACCCATGGCCTAAAGGGGACGGGGACACCCACTGTGGGTGGGAGACAGGGCACCCAGCGCTGGGGACAAGGACAGGGACAGCATTGCTTGGCACAGGGGATGGGGACACCCAGTGCCAGGTGAGGGGGACAGGGACATCCAGTGCTGGGGTTGGGGGGACAAGGTATGTGGTACATGGCTGGGTACAGGGGAAATGGACCTTGTTATGGCCCACTCTGACCCCACAACTGGAGGGCCACCCACCACCTCTGTCCATCCCCCCATGGTCCTTCTGATGCCCCCCGACCCTCTCACCTCATTATCCCCCTAACCCCTCTCTTTGTCCCCACAGGTGGGAGTCTCCCCAGGAACTCCCCCCACTTCGGGGGGCTTCTCCTGGCTACCGTGGCCATGGCAGTGGCCATTGGAACCCTCTAAGCCACGAGGACAGCAAGGTCACTGTGGAAGGCCACCAGGACCCCCAGAGAAAGGAGGCCACCAAGGCTACCGAGGCCATTATGGCCACTATGGTCACTTTGTCCACTGTGACCACTGTGACCCCTGTGGCCATTGTTACCACTTGGCCATTATTGCCAGTGAGGCCACCATGGTCACTGTAACGAGGTGTCCATCCTGGAAAAGTCCCTCCAAGAGCTGCCCAGTGAGGAAGCAGTGTCATGGCAGCAGGACCAGCACGAGGGGAGCTGGAGCAGCCAGGACAGCCCAGGACAGCACGGACAGCACAGACTGGGCAGCGTTGGGGACACTTGGGCACTTCCTGATAGAGGGGGTGGCATTGGGAGTGG